TAAATAAAAATCATTTTTACGGTGTTTATTATATGTGATAAAATGAAAAATGATCGGCAAATGATCGGCAAAATGATTTGCAAAATGTGATAAAATTAAGCATGACCGCTATGCTATATACGAACTTATAAATTTTGATAAACCGATTTTTTTAAAAAATTTCATGGTAAACCAGAAGGTTCGCTATATCGAATTCTGACTAGGGATGATAACAGTCAGTTAGAGGCCTTTGACCGACCGACCGGTTATATTGACCGGTTGACCAGCCCATATAACAATAATATAATTTAATTTAAACTTTAAATAATGCTAACATGGTATTTGCTAAAACTCCGAATTTTTATATATTTTACTTATTTTTTTTAGGCTAACTCAATATGCATGTTAAGATTACTTTCATATTACAGAATTATCGCGAACTTTTTTTTATAAAAAATTACATAAATAAAATGATTGTTAATTAAATGCAAAGAATTCTTGGATTACTAATTAAAAAATGTTTGATCAAACGGTCGGTCAAAATCGGTCGGTCAACCGGTCGGTCAGAAACCTTTGACCGACCAATATCGGTTACGGTCATGACCGGTCATGACCGTAACCATTAGCATCCCTAGTTCTGACTGTAAACATTTAAATTATTGATTATATTAATTTTGAGCTTTTATAGCCTTAAATTAAACAATTTTTGGATCATTTTTATCATTAGCTTTAACTTTAGATAGACTATTATTAGTATTTATTTACTAATGATCATAAAATATAAATTTATTTAAAAGAAACTTTAAAGAATTTTTTTAAAAAAGAAGCCGATAATTTTATTTTTTACAAAGTAAAAAATTAGATTTTCTTTTTTGGTAAATTATATGCCGATCAATTTCATACCAATCAAAATAAATTAAATGTTCATTATACTTTAAACCGCTACCATTTAACTAATCATTTTCTATTTGCTAAAATGTCCAAGCAACACAAACAGAAAAACTTAACCGAAGAGTTCATCGACGTAGACGATGAAATTCAAACTAATACTCAACAAACTGGGTATGCTTGGGAAGAAGAGTATAAGCGTAGTTGGGATGTACTACAGGAAGACGAGGATGGAAGTCTGAAACGAACTGTCGAAAATCTTCAACAACGGAAAAGGAAAAGGTAAGAGATTTCGTTTTGTATTAAAATAATTATTCTATAAAATTAAACCGTCAGCTTTTTCTAGGCTTTTTCGAGATACAGCGACGATTCGACGTGGGATAATACGACACATGTTCTTGATCATAGACCTTTCCGAAGCAATGATGGAAAAAGATCTTCGTCCATCTCGATTGGATCTAACTCTTTCATACGCTGAACAATTTATTCTAGAGTATTTTGATCAAAATCCAATTTCTCAACTTGCCATAATTGTAACAAAGGGAGGCTATGCAGAAAAAATTTCCGATCTGACTGGTAACAAGCCAGCCTCTTACTTTGTAATATTGATGATAAATTATACGAATTAAAAATAAATGTTTTTTTAAATTTTCATTAAATTAATTTTTTTGATTTTTCTGATATTATATAGGGAATCCAATGGATAATATACGTGCTTTAAAAAATAAGAAAAATACAGATACTGATGGTGAACCGTCTTTACAAAATTCTTTAGAGATGGCAAGATCAACTTTAATGTAAATAATGAAATATTAATGAAAATTATACAGAAAGAAAGAATTGTATTTTTAATTCGATAATTTCTTATTTAGTCACGTTCCATCTCATGGTTCACGAGAAATTTTGATCATTATGGGATCCCTTACAACCTGTGATCCGGGAGATATTTACGATACAATAGATAATTTGGTAAATGAAAATATTCGCGTCTCAGTAGTTGGATTAGCTGCCGAGGTACAGATATGTAAACTCATGTGCAAAAAAACAAAGGGTAAGTTAATTTAAATTATTATTATTATTATTATTATTATTATTTTAATACATATTCTAATATATAGATATTTAGGCACGTACGGAGTAGTTCTGAATGAAGCACATTTTAAAGATCTACTCTTTGAAATAATACCACCGCCTCCAGTCTCAAATACTCAAAACAAAGCTGAATTGGTTATAATGGGGTTCCCAAGTAGTGTTTCTGATTCATCGCCTTCACTTTGTGCATGGTATGATTTCGCTAAAAAAATTTCGATTTATTTAATATTGGATAAGTCAATCAACAATTTTTTTTACGATACGGATTCCATAACACAGTCATTCAAAACCTACAATTGGTGGTTACATTTGCGCTCGATGTCACTCAAAAATTTGCGATTTGCCAACGGACTGTCCGGTGTGTGAACTTACACTTGTATCAAGTCCACATTTAGCAAGATCATATCATCATTTGTTTCCCATAAATAATTTTGTAGAAGTTCCGTGGAATAATAATAGGTTTGATCTTCATCTTTTTTATTTATTTTAGTGCTAGATTCATTTTATCAATCATTTTATTTCTTTTGTAGTGTATCTCCAACACATTGCTTTTCATGTCAAATTCCTTTTCCGTCTTTTCTAGGAGTACGTGGTGGTGCGGTACCTATTGAAACTAGCGGTCGATATAAATGCAATAGATGCCAACAACATTTTTGCATTGATTGTGATGTTTTCGTTCATGAGGTTATTCATAATTGTCCAGGATGTTTGGCAGCCATTCATTAAAAATAATAGATATAATCTTTGAAATTAATTTTAGAAAGTTATTTTATTTTTATGTTAAATGGTAAATTTTTATTAAATAGCGAACAAAAAAATATTATTTTAAAATTTGCAATTAAATATTATTTAAAATAAATAATAAATTTGCTAGTGAAAATAAAAGAGATATTCATTTATAGGGAAAAATTTTTATTTTAATTTTCATTTTAGACTTTTGGCCAATTGGTCTTTTCTGCTTCACGTTTTAAATTTTCTTTAAAGCTTCTCATAAATATTTCTGTACGTCTTGCACTTTCATCAATATATGGAGATGCTTCATTTTTTTGAAACAAATTGTAATTAAATGAGATATTGAAATCTTAAAATAAGGATTTTAAAAAATGACACATACCTTGTTCTGAAATTTTTGAAATATGTGTGTGCGTTCTTGTAGCGAACCTGTGAAATGCTGGACTTTCTAATAGCTATATTATATTAAATTATATTAAATTGGTTAAATCATGTAAGGAAAAGCTCAGACAATAGAATATTTGCCTTTTCAGTTATGAATTTAGTTGTCCAATAATGAATAAATCGAGAAATCATTTTTTTAAGAGAAAGTTCATAAAACTTTATACAATATAATATTTTATATTATATTACGTGATAATGCTACCAAAACAATAGATATCGTAATCGACACGTGATATATATATAATAATGTTTTTTGAGATTTTCATTTATTATAAGTATTTTGATCTCTCATTTTTATTTAATCGACCTTTTGAAAACTAACAGACATATTGTAAGTGAATCAAGGAATTTGATTCCTGACAATTAGAATTTTAATAATTAAAACAATATAAATTAAATTTGTCCGGTCCGAGATTGCAGCTAGCTTTTGATGAATATAATGCGATCATTAACTAACATGGCCAATATTGTAAATTAACAATGTACTCTGTCGTGTATATGCGGAATTTTAAAACGTGAACTTTAAAAATATATTGTGGTCAAAATATGATAAGGGTATTGGTCGATTTTGTACAACAGAAAGTTACTTGAATGTGCGTTTTTTTTTTTTTTTTTTTTGACAATTCAGTTCCCCTTTTTTTATTTCCCCCGAAATTCAACATTGGAACGAAAAGAAGTTTATACTCAACCTTTTTTTTTTATTTAGGTTCCAAGAAAATTTAAAATGGATTATAAAGAAAGGTTTGTTGAATTTTGTTTAGCATAAATAAATAAATAAATAAACCCGTTTAACCAAATTTCTTTTAGACTTGCTCAATTTGAAGATATTCTTAGTATAAAAAATATATCTACAGAACCTACTATAGACCTTTATAAGTTTCGACATTTATGTTTTCGAGGTGATTATCAATTCTTTTTTATGACGTTTTAAAGAGAAATTAAGAAATTAACTTATCAAGTTTCTTTTTTTTTAAAAAAAAATAATTAATTAAAACCTTCCTTTGTATGGAATTAATTGATTGAATAGGTATTCCTGATAACCCTGGTATTAGACAATTAAGTTGGAAGGTAAATTTTTGAAATTTGTGACGAATAATCGTTTTTTTCTCCGATTTAAAATTCATCCCGTGACATTCAATAGATTTTAATAGGATATCTACCACATGATAAAAGAAAATGGCAAAGCACGCTTGCGGAACAAAGATCAACTTATTATGTAAGTTATAATGAAATTTTTACTTAATTCTAATTACTTTAATTCACTTAAATAAATTTCCTTCCACTTTCAAATAAATCTAGAGCTTTATTAGGGATTTATTGGCAGATCCAAGTGAAGAAGAATTAAAAAATTCAAATGAATCGACAGATGATCACCCATTAAATTCTTCACCAAGTTCAAAATGGGCGGAATATTTTGCAGATAATAATATATTAGAACAAATTGATAAAGATGTTAGACGTACTTTACCAGATTTTGCATTTTTTCAATCACCGGTACCACACAGTCCATTAAGTCCCCTCAGTCCCAAAATTGAAGCAATAAATAGAATGAATGGAGCTCGATCACCTTCTATACTCGAAACATTAGATATTTATGATGACTCTGTTAGTATAAGTAATTATAGTGATTCTATATTAACAACTGCTTCAGAATTAGATGCAGAAGTTGCCGTATTAGAAGCTCAATTAGCAATAATATCTAATCCATCATTACCGTCGGCGAATGGAATTCTTAGCAGAAATATTTCGACTATATCTAGTCCAAAACCTGTTCCGCTAGACTTATACTATAGAACATCATCTCCTCCACCTGTTACACCTATACCAACTCGTAGATCTATATTCAAACGTGTACAGCATTTAAATAAAGATTTCGGTATGAGAGGACAAAATGCAAATACGAGACCTTGTTCTCCCGCTTCAAGTTATAGGTCGGATGGATCAAATGTTCGTGATGACGATGGTGAAGTTGATTTACATTGGGAAGCCATTGAACGTATATTATTTATTTATGCCAAGTTAAATCCCGGTGTTGGTTATGTACAAGGAATGAATGAAATATTAGGCCCTATTTATTATACTATGGCAAATGATTCTGATGAAGAAGGAAAAGGTTTGTTTTAAATAATAAGTAATTTATCAATTCTTGTGATAGTATCAAAAGCTTTAACATTTGGCTATTGTTTTGTAATTTGTTATATTTAGCACATGCTGAAGCGGATTCATTCTTTGTGTTTACATTATTGATGGCACATATCAGAGATCATTTTGTTAGAAGTTTGGATACGGATGAAGCAACTGGTATTGGTCATACTATGAAAAAATTAAACAGGAGATTAAAAACTTATGCACTTGAGTTATGGAGAGATTTAGTAAGATACTGGTATTCTATTTTTTATCATTTGTTTTTTTAATTAAATAGGAATATTGATGTTTAATCTTCTTGTATTTATTTATAGGAAAGAAAATCTTTGTACCCAACTTATTATTCATTCCGTTGGTTAACAGTTATGTTGACGCAAGAATTTTCTTTACCCGATGTTATTAGATTATGGGATAGTATTTTAGCTGATCGTGACGATGATGATGAATCAACAAGTGGCTTTGAATTTTTATTAGATTTTTGTTGTGCTATGTTAATGTAAGTTAAGTTAAGGGTTAAACTTTTCATTTTAAAATTAAGACATTAAATTCTTTGCTATTTAAAATCTTTAGGTGTGTTGAAGATGAATTACTAAGAGGTTCATTTTCTGATAATATCAAGTTATTACAGGTAATAAATTTCGTTCATTTAGATATTATTTATGAAAGTTCTTTTTGACCAAATTTATATATATATATTTAGAACTATCCGATACAAGATCCAGCAATAGTATTGCGTAAAGCATATTCATTAAGAGAATCGAGATTGTTAGCAAAATTAAATGGTGAAGAAGATGATGAATTAGATGAAGATTATTCTTGCAATGGGGAAGATTTTGGTTATTATTCATCATCAGGTAATGAATATGAATATTATGATAATGATGATCTTTCCCTTGGAGAAAATATAATCGATACTACTAGTGAATCTTCTATTGAGACATCTAGTAAGGATTATCATCAGCATTCAATATTTTTGATGCCTTTTATTAATTTTGCACAATTATTTCGTTAAACAAAAAGCTACGAATCTTTATAATACGCAACAATCAACAAATAACAATAATCATTATCTATTACGTGCTCAAGAGGTTAAAGTGAAAGGATTGGCTATGTTAAGAAAAGTACAAGGTGTGGTATCTGGTCGCAATAATACTGCATCATCAAACTCGAATACATTTTCAACAAATTCGACTTCCTCAAGAGCAAATTTATCAACTTTATCGTCACAATCAAAAACTAATAATAAAATGACATCAACATCATTATCGAAGTCCTCAGCAATTGGAAATACATTTATATCTTTACCTACTATTAATAAAGTTGATGTCAATAATGGAATGAATGGTTTTTCTAATAGATTTTCTAATGTTTGGAAAAAAAATATTACTTATACAGCTTAAAAAATGGGACAATTTTAATTAGCTTTTATATTTTTAAAAAAGTATCATTATTTATTGGGGTTGGTTTTTTTAATTATTCTTGTGTATAAAATATTTTATTCAAGTTATTCGTTTTTTATATTTACACATTCTTTTTTTCTAATTTCTTTTCTTAATATCTATTAATATTTTTTTTTTTGGATTGTAATTTATTTAGATTTTTGTATCAACAGTTTTTTTTCTATTTTTGTATGATTTTTTTATATTAATTATTAATTTATTTTATTTTATTTCATATATTGTACATTATTTCAATTAGAAAAAAAATATATTATCATATTTTATCAATTGGAAATAAAACAATAAAGACAAAAAAGAATTCACAATCAAATATAGATTTTTAACAAATGCTAACATTATATGTTTTATAAAATATGAATAATTTCACTTATTTTTGTATTTAATGTATTTTTTGTAAATTTTTTTTTTGGTTTTATAAAGATCCTTATACAAATACAAGAAAAAATAGGTTTAAGTAACACAGTTTTGCTTAAATTTTATATTCCTAAACAAAAACTACATTTTTAATGATTCTGGATCAAAACAAGATTACCTATCAAAATGCAAATAAAATTCAAGAGACATATGATGTTTTAGTTATTCTTTTGGAATGAATATATTCTAAGGAAATCAAAGAAGTGATGGTTATCCAAAAGGACTGCTTATATTATTTTAGATCTAAACTTATAAAATGAATCTTTAAAAAAAAATGGAATATAACTTGTGATACTCAGTTCAGATGTTTATACTAATAATAGTAAAGTTGAAGAACCTGCAAGAGATTTACTTACAATTGTCACAGTATTTATAGCATATATAATAGATTATATTCAATCACAAATCGCAGAAGAAAATAAGCTATCAAAGAGGTTTAAGAGTTCTAAGAAAAAAATGAAGAAACTTCTAGCAGAAAAAGTATGACATATTTGCATTTATTCTAACTAGCAGGAATATCTGAAACTCAGA